TTCAAACCAACATTTAATGGGAGGGAAGAATTCACATCAAAGTCCTACGATGTGTCAAGACACCAGAAGAGAACCTCTGTCACTATAAAATAACTCCCTTAGCAAGGAATAATAGCGTAAAAAAGCAAGTCACCTCCATCATTGTTCACGGTTCAGTGAAGTTCTACTCATCAACTGAAACACAATGTTAAACAATTCAGCTTGGCTTTTGCATGCTGGGGAACCATGTGGTGCTTAGCTACCAGAGATGCTGATTCTTTTGCTTAGCTACCAGAGATGCTGATTCTTTTGAACAGATACGGTTCATTTGAACAAAGGTATCTTATCCATGGAGTCTGGTGATCTATGCAACCTCCACATTCAAGCACAGTTGAGGGACTGCTGTTGAAGCATGGATCACTGCAGCCCTGGCCATACACACGGACCCTTCTTCTGTTGGCTGTTTCTAAACTGCAATAAAAAACAAAGAAGCACTAAATGGATAACCAGGAAAATAAAGAGGAAATATCAGGGTAGTAAGATACTAGAGTTAAAATGGTCTTGGAATAGGCACAAAGTTAGTTGCTTAATGTAGTTGTAAGATAACAAATATCTATGACAAACTGGCCATTGTCTGTTTACTTGATGAGAGCAAAGGTGGTAGCAAGAAACATTTTAATTATGTTCAGTAAAATTTACAAATTGATTTGTGGCCAGGAACTATATACAGTCTTTATGTAAATTGCCTCATTTAATCCTATCAACAACCACATAACATAGGTATTATGCCCAATTTATAGAAGAAAACAAATTGAAGCAACAGTTTAACTTGCTCAAGATCTCATAGATACTAAGCGAAAGCTGGAATTTGAGAACCAGAGAGTCTAGTTTCAGAAACCATGTTTTTAATCAATAGTTTCTATGCTTACGTAGATAGCCTGCCCTATCCCCCAAAGCATTTAGCCTTTTCCCTTCTTTTTTGTTTCACCAGAAAGCCTCTTCTTTAGTAACCTTTAAAAAAATTTCACAGATGTCTGTAATTTAAAATGTTGTATTTGACACCATGCACTCTTTAGAGTGGAACAACTATTTCAGAAATCCTGTGAATAAATAATCTGCAAAAACACCATATTCTGTAATATAGCAGATTGATTAGAAAAGTTCTACTTAAGACAAATTAGAATAATATAGAACAATAGAATTCAACTTTTTTCTTTTCCACTAGGAAGGACACAACAGATAATGTTCACTTCTGGATAAATTTGTATAACCACTGGCAATTCAAGTCTTTCATTCTCTGTTGGATATCCAGGGCTGACCAACCAACTTTTTTATTTTTTTTTATAGATTTTTATTTATTTATTTGACAGAGAGAGAGAGAGAGAGAGAGATCACAAGTAGACAGAGAGGCAGGCAGAAAGAGAGGGGGAAGCAGGCTCCCCACTGAGCAGAGAGCCTGATGCAGGACTCGATCCCAGCACTGTGGGATCATGACCTGAGCTGAAGGCAGAGTCTTAACCTCTGAGCCACCCAGGTGCCCCACCAACCAACTTTTTACTTGCTTCCCATTCCTCTTAGTTGCAAATTCTTTCCCATTTTTCTCAGTTCTAAATCCAATCCATTTCTACATTCCAAAGACCTAAGTCCTATTCTCCCATCTCTTCAGACTATCTTGCCTCCTACATCATTGAGGAACCTGAGGCCATCAAGCTTGAAATCCATCTCAGAAAAACAAGGTCTCCTTTTGTACTGGTCCAAATCGAATTCTCTGTGCTCTTAGTTCTATGCTCTCATCTCTTCAAGGAATCTGAACCACGAGTTTTCCATTCTACCTCTTATTTTGTGGTAGATTTGTCAAATACATTGCTATCATGCTCGCAGCCTCCCATGAGGGAAAGCGATCCATCCAAGGTCTTTATCAAGGGGCAACCATGTTTTATACCATGCAAACTCCTGGGTACTAGCTGCTTGGACAAGGTGGGCAACTATCTCAAAGGGCCCCCAATTTACAGACTGACCAGAGAATTAAGACTTGGCCTGGAAATGAAAAGATGAGCAGGGCCTGCTGCCTACTTAAAACTTCTCAAAGGTACTCACTACTTTAAGAGTGAGAAACCCATTTTAAGGAAGATGAGTAGATTTTTATTATTAGAAAAGTTATGAAATGACCTTTGATGCACATCTTGCTTGTGAAAGTTAATGTTCAGTGGAAGTTTATACAGAGTTATACAGTATTTACATTCAGTGGAATATAAATATTGGAATTGTAGTATATATTGGAAATAAATAGTGGAATATAGAAATATTTCAATGTTCAGTGGAAGTTTATACAGTGTTATACAGTATTTATACAGTAGTTGCTAGAGAGCTATATATCTTAGCACAGAAATAACCTATAATGTTACTGGAAATTACTGACAAAAATACCTTTCAAAGCAGCCTATTATACGAATTTTAAATGTCATCTGATTCTTACAATAATTCCACAACGTAGGTTCTAATATTCATAATTTTCAAATAAGGAAACTAAGGCTCAGAGAACTTGAGTTACTTCCGAAGGTCACTCAGTTAATGACTGGCAGAGTTTGGTGTCTGGATCCAAGGCTTATACTTTGATACTACCTCTGGCTTTTTCCTAGTGAAAAACATGAAGGCATTGCCTAGCTTTATCATCTGTCATCTTGGCCATAACAACAAAATGACCGGAGCTGGCTTAATAAACATCTAAAAAGTGTAACATTAACAGATGAGGAATGAAAAGAAGGGAAAAAAATTAAGGTGAGGGCAAATTTAGTGTACAGCAATGCGTGCCATTGATTTTGTAAGTAGGTAGACAGGGTGTCTAAAGATTACTTCATTAGGAAGGATAGTGCCTTTGGGAAGACTTGGTAACTCCTGAGGATACAAAAGATCAAGCATGACAGGTGATCATTATTAGGCACACATATTAAGCAAAATAAAATGACACACGACTGGCACACATGCTTGCTTAATGCACTTAGAAATATCAGGCATATTTGCGACGACGTGGATGGAACTAGAGGGTATCATGCTTAGCGAAATAAGTCAATCGGAGAAAGACAACTATCATATGATCTCCCTGATATGAGGGAGAGGAGATGCAACATGGGGGTTAAGGGGATAGGAGAAGAGTAAATGAAGCAAGATGGGATTGGGAGGGAGATAAACCATAAGTGACTCTTAATCTCACAAAACAAACTGAGGGTCGCTAGGGGGAGGGGGGTTGGGAGGGGGGGTGGGGTTATTATGGACATTGGGGAGGGTATGTGCTATGGTGAGTGTGGTGAAGTGTGTAAACCTGGCGATTCACAGAACTGTACCCCTGGGGAAAAAAATATATGTTTATAAAAAATTAAAAAAAACTAAAAAAAAAAAAAAAAAACTCTAGCAAAAAAAAAAAAAAAAAGAAATATCAGGCATTTCAGCCGATAAAAAGTAGGGGTTAGGAAGTCCATAAAGAAAAGGTACATGTTTACCAAATATTAATTTGAGCGAAGTTCTGTGAAAATATCACTGACCCGTGAATATTCAGACATTCCATAAAGTGGAATATCGAAAAAAGAACATATGTCAATGGGAAAACGGCTTCCTGCTACAGACCTTCTTAGAAGCTGCCATAGCAGGGCACCTGGGTGGCTCAGTGGGTTAAAGCCTCTGCCTTTGGCTCAGGTCATGATCCCAGGGTCCTGGGATCAAGCCCTATGTCGGCCTCTCTGCTCAGCGGGGAGCCTGCTTCCTTTCCTTTCTCTCTCTGGCTGCCTCTTTGCCTACTGTGATCTCTGTCTGTCAAATAAATAAATAAAATCTTTAAAAAAATCTGCCGTGGCCAAGTTGGAATCTATTCCTGATTTTACACCATTTTGTTCATTGTTTAACATTTAGAAGTACACCTCTGAACCAGAGACACCTCAACAAGGAGAAAAGTAGCTAAGACAAAGATTGGCTTACCAAGAGCAATTTAGTGGTGTCTTTGAAGGAAAAACCCCATTACAAAGACAGGATCCACATTGCCTTGAATTTGGATCACCACGTGACTTCTTTAATCTTGACTCTTTTCCCAACTAGCATACAAAATTGTGCTGAAGCGGAGAAACCAAGGCATGGTTCAGATTTGTGATATTTTTTTCCTTGGATCAAAGATTCTGAGCATCCATCTATGAAAACACGTAGCTGTTGATCTGAGTATGTAATTACACGGGAGCAGTTTCAGCTTGGAGGGATGGTAAACAGAGAGCAGGTTTGCTCCATAGAGCAGATTGGCTCACACTTAATAATGCACCAATCACGGGCTATGAGTCAACATGCCAAGGGATCAGGGCTGTGCTGTCCCTACTCTGAAAGCCCCTGATGCCAACACGCACAGTCCTTCTGTGGTGCCGTGTCGCTGAGCGCTGCTCCACTGGCCCAGGTCCAGACACTACCAAAGGCTCGGGAACCGGATTTCCTGGAGAACAGAGCCTCTCTCCAGTTCTGGTCGGCCCGGCTGGACACTCTGTTCAAACTCCAACCAGAGAACAGGTTTGGACCTCGGGAGGCAGGCTGGGGCAGAGACCAGGGATCTGCTCTGTGAACAACAGCCTCAGGCGCCCCGCAGGGTGGTTCAGAGAGCACGTTTTCCGCGCCGCAGGTGGACAGGGCGTTACAGGGTGTCCTGTGCGGCCCGCCTCAGAGACGCGGGCTCACTCCCGCCCCAGGGCATTTCAAAGATCAGGGCAGTGGCTGAGTCAGTCCCGGAGGCGCCCGCCACGAGGAAGCTCGCCCACGCGAGAGGCCCAGCCGACGCCAGCTCCGCTTCAGCCGCAGGTCTCCGAAGCTCCCCGGCGTTTTGCGCCGGTGCCACCGGAGCCGCAGGCGAGGGTCCCCGCGCGCCCCAGCGTTCCCCGTACGAATACCCGCAGCGCGCCGCGCCGCGCAGCGAATCCTGAGGGCCCAGAGCCAGGCGGAAGCACAGTCCGGGCCCTCCCTCTGCCCGCCGGAACCGGAAATCGCTGCCCCGGCGGGTACGTAGCCCTCCGCGGGCCGCGCCGCACCATGTTCCGCGGACCCCAGCGCTTCATCAAGGTCTCGGTGGCGCCGGTCGCTACCCTGGCTGTTGCTCTGCTTTCGTCGGTCTCGCGCTGCTCCCTCCTGGAGCCGGAGGACCTCGCGGTTTCGGCGCTCAGCCCCTACTTCGGTACCAAGACCCGCTACGAGGATGCCAACCCCGGGCTGCTGCCGGACCCCGAGGCGCCGCGGAGGGACCCCGAGCTGCTGGAGGACACGTGCACCCCAGTGCAGCTGGTGGCCCTCATTCGGCACGGCACCCGCTACCCTACGGCCAAGCAGATCCGCAAGCTGCGGCAGCTGCATGGGCTGCTGCAGGCCCGCGGGCCGAGCGACGGGCGCGCTGGCTCCGCGGGCGGCCGGGACCTGGGCGCCGCGCTGGCCGACTGGCCGCTGTGGTACGCGGACTGGATGGACGGGCAGCTGGTGGAGAAGGGGCGGCAGGACATGCGACAGCTGGCGCTGCGCCTAGCCTCCCTCTTCCCGGCTCTCTTTAGCCTCGAGAACTACAGCCGCCTGCAGCTGGTCACCAGCTCCAAACACCGCTGCGTCGACAGCGGCGCCGCCTTCCTGCAGGGGCTGTGGCAGCACTACCATCCCGGCCTGCCGCCACCCGACGTCGCAGGTGACAGCCTGGAGCCGCCGGGGGCAGGGTCCCCTGGCTCGGTAACCCCTCGCTCCCTCCGTCCCCAGGCCCCCGGGTGCCCATCTCGTGTCGCGTGTTCAGGTCTGGGTTGTCTGTCTCCCTTGTCCCCACTCATATTCATCTGTCCGTTCATCAGGGATGCAGTGCACACCTTTCTGGGGCTGGACGTGCTAGCGGGCTGACCGGACAGGAGAGGAGACCGCCGGGCGGGGTTCTCCGTGTCGTGTTCCCAGACAGATTGCCCCCTCTCCGAGCACCAGCCCTGCCTTTCCTCCCTTCCTGGCATCTAGTGCCAGCACTTTCCTTCTTCGAGCTTTGCTTCTTGAAAACTGTTTGGGTTTTTTTACTTAACGATTCTTTTTTTTTTTTTTTTCTTTTTAAATTACATTGGTTCTGGACCCACATCCCATATTAGGAAGCGACTCTCGAGCTCTCTTGACTGCTGTGCTTATTTCTCTGTTTTGACCTTGTATATACTGTAGTCTTACCCTCCCTGTCGCTGTGGTTCAGGGTCATACTCAGTACTTGTCTGATTTATCCCATTACTTTTGCGGAACTGGAGAGATCATCTTGTGGGGCCCTGGTATTCCACAGGTGAAGAAGCTGAGCCCAGGAATGTCTTGTTCATTGTCCTTGGTTCGTCTGAGGACCAGAGTCAGGCCTGGAATCCATGCCAGCACCCCCAAAAAAGTTTAGTCGTCACAGATACTAATAATAACCGATACTTAAGCCTGCTTTATGGCTTTGTGCCAGGCATGCCTGGCATTTATTTCACTAATCCTTACAAAAGTCCTCTATTTTCCCTCTACCTAACAGATGAGGAAATTGAGCCACAGAAACACTAGTGGCCTGTTTTCGCATGGCTAGGTATGGACCCAGGAAATCTGATTTGGAGCTTGGTCTCTTAACCCGTATACACTGCAGTCCATTCGTCTTGTAACTAGGAGTAAGGATGAAAGCATGTAACATGTTTGTGCTGGAGGGATGAGCAAGGGTTAGTGTTTTGTTGGGCAGTTTTTAGGTCAGAAATGACATGAGACATTGTTTAGCTTTAAACCCAAGTGAAAAATAAATTAGACTAGTTTGTCATTTTTCCAGTAGCATTTTCTCTTAACACAGTTCAGCCATCTCCAAGAAGTCATTCTTTTGATTATGTGTCATGTTACTGCTATGTGGGTAGTTCTCTTGGCTGACTTGTTTACTCGTTGAATTGTGCTTTTTAGTGATTAATATAGTAGAAATTCTCCACAAATCTGTTAAATTCAGTGAACATTCAAGGCAGAATATACTTCGCTCTAGCACAGTGTATATAGTGTATACCAAAAAGGGGCTACTGGCCCTGCTGGGATGAAGTCTTAGAGATTGAATCCCTTGCCTGGCTACTTCATTATGATCTCTGTAGTGTGTGTATGTGTATATATATATATGTGTGTGTGTGTGTGTGTGTGTATGGAGAGAGAGAGAGAAAGTTGCCTGTTGTGTTCATCTGGGTTTTCAAGGGAGTCCACTGAATTAGATTTTGTATTATAGCAACAGGATAATACCTTTGTTTCTGTTTAAAGAACAGCAGGAATGAGTTAATAGTAAGGACAAAGAATCCAGATCCACTTGGGAAATTGTATTTTGAGGCCACAGAGAAAGAGGACAAAGGTCACTTATTTTCCAAGTCCGGATGTTTTACCAACTATAATCCAGTTAGCAGTGACATCGGGTAGGATTATCCATTTCAGGAGATCCTGAATTGAACATGCAACATACACGTAAATATGTTTTTTTCAGACTCACATCCAGAGCAAAACGGTATGACTGATTTGATTTTCTCATTTTGTAAAGAGTAGTGGTATTCTTCGTGTTCTTTTCGTGGTAAATTATTGGAGAAATGATGATTGAAATCGATGTGCTTTGAATGTGACTGAAAAAAACAGGCACCCCCCCCCCCAGTAGTTGAGGCATGATTGCGGATGCTTTTATAATACATATTTGCTGCCAAATTGGGGGAATAATGGAACTTAGGGATTCTAAGTGGAAAACATCTGGGAGCTTTAGTTATAAAATAAACCAAAGGCAGAAGCACCAAGCACAATGAAATACAGAGGACCTGAAAGGATGTTTTGTGCTGTTGTCAGTAGTTTTTGTCCAAAGCACTCTTTTGTGAAGTAACACAGTGTTGGGAAAGTTAATACAGAAAATACACTATGTAGGCTTTGGCTTAGAGGAGAAAAACAGATTTGATCTGCTGAATTAGTCTCTCAACATTGTAGTTAGGAACATCGCTAGTTTTCAGTTTGCTTTCTCCCAAGTTTTCTGGGCCCGACAGAAGTAGTACTTAGAGAACACGTTTCTGCACTTACTAGGCTTTTCATGTCTAATTATTTTTGTTTTCTTTCACGAAATATTTATTTCAGCCACCTTTTTTTTTCACCGTTTAGTAATGCAGTAACATTTTATCTCTGATTCTCTGTTTCTTTAGTCTTTTCTAGGATATACTTTCATGAATTACCGCCATTACAAATGGGGAATAATTTTGCTCTGTCTCTCTTGATCATTGTGTGCTAAAGACATGCCAATAAATAAACAGGTTTTTAGTGTTCTTTTTCACACTTGAAACAAAATTTTTAGTAATTTGAGATGATCACTTATGTTGGTGGTATATGTATAAACAAAATTTTTTTTCTGTTTCAGACATGGAGTGTGGACCTCCAAGAATTAATGATAAACTAATGAGATTCTTTGATCATTGTGAGAAGTTTTTAACTGAAGTGGAAAAGAATGCTACAGCTCTTTATCATGTAGAAGCTTTCAAAACTGGACCAGAAATGCAGAACATTTTAAAAAAGGTTGCAGCTACTTTGCAGGTGCCAGTCAGCAATTTAAATGCAGGTATGTGCCCATTATCTTTCATTCGAACTCTGGAATAATTTTAAATGGTCCTCAAACTCTGAAAATGAAAAAATATAGAAGCATAAAGTAATTCTTTTTAAAGGCCCACGATTGATTTTACATTAAGAAAATAATACACTGTTGTCAAGAAAATGGTATATATCATGCTTACTGTTTTGAGATTCATATACTTCTTTGAGCTTTATGTAAATGAATGTACACGATTTTTGCTATATCCTGGAATTTTTTTTTTTTTTTGAGAACAGAGGTATATAAAGCTTTGACTGTAAGCGTTTTTTATATAATTTACATTTTTAAAAATTATTTCCTCAAAATGATAAAAGTGGAAAATTATATAAAATTCTTTAGCTGTTGAAGCTGTTCAGAAGTGTGTATATGTTCATGTTTTGAGGAGGGATATTAGAAAGTAAAAAAAGCAAAGTAGTGTGGGCATTTTCTTTGAGGCCTTTAAGCCTAGAGATGCTAAAAAGAATGCGCATTTGTGTCTGTCAAAAGGTGTTGCAGTAGATAGGCTGCCTGTTGCAATTTGTCATGCAGCCTTGTACACCAGGGGAGTGCAGGGGGGCACTGTTAATAATTATGCTGGAGAAAGCAATGTCTACAATAGCCAAACTATGGAAAGAACCTAGATGTCCATCAACAGATGAATGGATAAAGAAGATGTGTATATATACAATGCAGCCATTGTATATGGAATACTATGCAACCATCTAAAGAAATGAAATCTTGGGGTGCCTGGGTGGCTCAGTGGGTTAAGCTTCTGCCTTCGGCTCAGGTCATGATCCCAGGGTCCTGGGATGGAGCCCCGCATCAGACTCTCTGCTCAGCGGGGAGCCTACTTCCCCCTGTCTCTCTCTGCCTGCCTCTCTGCCTACTTGTGATCTCTGTCAAATAAAATAAATAAAATATTTTAAAAAAAAAAGTGAAATCTTGCCATTTGCAAGGACGTGGATGGAACTAGAGAGTATTATGCTGGCAAAATAAGTCAATCAGAGAAAGACAGTTACATGATCTCTCTGATATGAGGAATTTGAGAGGCAGGGAGGGGGGGTTGTGGGGGGCAGGGAAGGGAAAAATGAAACAAGATGGGATCAGGAGGGAGACAAACCATAAGAGACTCTTAATCTCACAAAACAAACTGAGGGTTGTTGAGGGGAGGGAGGGTAGGCAGAGGGTGGTTGTGTTATGGACATTGGGAGGGTATGTGCTATGGTGAGTGCTGTGAATTGTATAAGACTGACGATTCACAGACCTGTACCCCTGGGGCAAATAATACATTATATGTTAATAAAAATAAGTAAAAAAAATTATGCTGGGGAAGCAGGTGGAAAGCCAGGGCACATGTTCACCTGCCAATAGGAAACAAAGAAAAAATAATGGGAATTTTCTCTGATTTCTAAGAATTCATAATTCATATAGCAAATGTCGACAAGCATACAAAGATTGGGGATTTCTTATATTGTGAATAAACTTCCAAAAGGCTAGAAGTTGGGAAAAAAATAGACTAGAATCACGGAGCCTGAATGCTTTATAAGCATCAAAAAAATGAAGATGCCTGTACTAGCATTTAAAATTGAATTTTTTTCTTTTCCCAAAGTGGCTAAACATTGTGGTCGCCTCCAGAGCTTTAAAATTTATTTATTTTAGGGGCACCTGGCTAGCTCAATTGATAGGATATGTGACTCTTGATCTCAGTGCTATGAGTCCACGTTGGGTGTGGAGATTATGTAAAAATAAAAATTTAAAAAATGATTTTAGTGGCAAGTAATTTAAGCCTATAAATAATAATAAAGGCTGATACAATGAATGAATGTCGATATACCCACAACTCAGTTTTATCAAATTTCAACATGCTGTAGTTAATTTCTTTAGGGAATTAAAGTCCATCAGTTCCTCTCTGGAAGTTTATTTCTCTTCTTCTCTTCCCAGCGGTAGTCATCATGAACTGAGCATTTAAATCACCCCATGCCAGTTTTTATGTTTCTGTACATAAATGGTATGTTGTTTTGCAGGTTTTAAAACTTACATGAATCGTATTGAACTATAATTTCAGTCTGAAATTTGATTTTAATTCAACTTATTTTCTATTCTTAAAATTACTTTAAAAGATTTTATTTATTTGAGAGAGACCGAGACAGAGAGAGACAGCGCATGAGCAGGAGGAAGGGCAGAGGGAGCAGCACAGTCCCTGTGGAGTGGGGAGCTCAGCACGGGGCTCGATCCCAGGACCCTGAGATCATGACCTGAGCTGAGGGCAGACGCTTAACCAGCTGAGCCACCCAGGCGTCCCTCAATTTTTTATTCTTTATTTTAATGTGTGTGATTTTAGTCCTACATTTTAACTTTATGTACGAAATTTGTTTATGTAACTATACCAGTATCTAGCTATGCCTTTGGTTAGTAGGGGGTTAGACAGTTGAAGATTTTTTAAAAAATAATTTTTGGTCTCAGATTATTTGTGTTTTACTGATGAGGTGACTGAGAGCAACTTCTTTTTGGAGGCAACATAAGCATAGTGGTTAAAATTATGGGTTCTGGAATTGGACTGTTTGTATTTGAATTTTGACTCTGTTTTACTGTCAACTAACTCTGTGGTCTTTACAAGTTCATTAATAGTTCTAGGCCATAGTTTTTCTGTAAGGTGGGTATAGGAATTGTACCTTTCTTTTAGGATTATTCAAGGATTATGTGAAATTAATTAGTGTGGAGCATTAGTACAGTGCCTGGCAGAGTAATGGCTCAAAACTACTGTAGCTATTTAAATCCTTTTGTTTTTAACATAGAGGGGTGATAACATATGTATTTACTGTAACTTATTTTTACTTAGCAATGTATCTGTCTTATGTAGCTCTTTTTTTTTTTTTTTTAATTCTGTGTGATTTCATAGGATATATGATTCAGATTCTAGGTCAGTGATAGTTAAAAACTTATTTAACCCATCAGATTTTACTGGTGGAGGGGACCGGACCTAATACGGTGCAAATTTTTTTGGTAGGAAATCATTTTCCTACTGAGGTTTTTCTTAGTTTTTCACCCTTTCAAATGATGTTGCAATAAACATTTTTATAATCTGGTTTTTGTCCTAGAGAATTTATAAAGTGAATAACTGGAGGTGGAATTGTTGGGTTGAGGACAATGAATATTTTACACCTTGACACATACTTCCAGATTGTTCTCTGAAAGTGTAGAAATTATGTCAATAATAGATGAGATCTCCCCCTTATCCAATAGTAGCTGTTGTTAGTCGTTTTGATTTTTGCCAGTTTGATTAATGAAAAATGGTATCTGGCTTTAATTTGTATTTCTTTGGTCACTTGTGAAGATGAGCATGTCTTCCTGGGTCTGCAAGCTACTTGCATTCTTTCTGGGGTTTGCCTCTTCCTTATCTTGTCCATTTCTATCAGATTATTTTTGTTTTTCTTATTCTTAGGGACCCTTTATGTGTCACAGATTTATTGATTATATATCCTTTAATTTTGCTTGACAAAGGATAAATCCTTTGCCTATTATTGTTCCTAACAGGTTCTCTTTATTTATTGCTCACTTTTTAAGTTTATGGTGCCTTTGACTGTACCCTTTTTGTCTGTTACATAGCCATGTCTGTCTTTTCATCGTGGCTGTTCGATGTTGTATTTTGCCTAGGAATACTCTCTTACCCCAAGATTACTCTATTTTCCTATGTCTTCCTTTATTTTACTTTAGTTTTTAATGTTTAAATCTCTGATCTATCTGAAATACCTTTGAGGTTCCAAAAGACCGGCCAGGAAGTCAGCATGGTCTTTGTGACACCTCATGAAGAGTTCACACCTATTTTGCAGGTGGAATGATTGAGACCAGAGAGGCTGGAACCCCTTGCTCAGGATGATTAGTGGCAGAATTAGGTCTTATAGCCTGTCGTTTTCTCAAGTGTTTTTTGGTGAAATTTTTCCATCAACTTCCTTCCAGTTAAAGAACAGACCATTAGGATCGACTTTCATAATTTCAGAACTAGAACTTTGAGTGTGAATAAGTCAGGTTCTTTTCATTGAACATCCATGGTCCTTTGAAGTCACTACATTATATTAGGTATTAGGATTATCAACCCTCTGGTTTATTCAAGCAAAGTTTGTAAATGCCTTTTGCGTGTGTTCTCAATTAAATATTCTTTTTGTACTATATACTGCCTTAGGGGAAGTTCTTTAAACTCAAACCTGGTTCCTTGGGAACAAGGAGAGACACTGAAGTTAAAAAGCAAAGCGCAGGGCAGCCCTGCAATGGCTCCCGTTCTCTCCGTAGCATCGAGCAGCGGCCCCGTGCCTGTGACCAGACAGCACAGCCACCTGTCATAGCCAGGGACTTGGTGCCCTACCCTTCCCTTCAAAACCCAGGGCTATTTAAAGGTCATATAATCAGCTCATTCTCAATGTAAAAATCCAGATAACCTGACATCTGCCACCTCACTGAGCAACGAAAACTAAAAGACGGGTGCCATTAGCATGCTCTCTCTCCAGTGTGTCACTTCCCCTCTTCGATTCTTTCCTTCTTGACCCTTGATTTTCCCTCCCTCCTGACCCCCATTTACTCTGCCCTCTCTCCACCTTTTGCAGTCCTCATCCGTTTTTGCATCCTCCTCTCTGTACTCCTGCCTCACAGAACGAAGCGTTGTGTCCTTAATAGTGCAGTTCCGCAAAGGTAGTTTGTTATTCCTCATTTTCAAGGTGGGTTAAACTCTGTTGGATTTGGTAGACAAACGTGCTCTTAACAAACACATTTCTTTTAAAACCAGAAAAAATGGTAACTTGTAGATACCAGTTAAATGTTTTAGTTTCATTGGACTGAAATTTCTACCTCCTCGTGGTTTCTTCCTGACAGTTCTAGTTCTGCCTGTTTGGATGGTACAGAGTGGGTCTTCATTTTTCGATAATCTGATAATCAGGAAAAGGCCAAATCATCTTTTCCTCCATGCTGAACCTACCCAGGTCCTTGGACTGTGCCACACGTGGCTTTCTGTAGCTCTTTAGCCTCTGGAAGATTATGGAGAAGAGTGACTCACAGATTCTACCTTTCTCTTTTCCCCCCAGATTTAATTCAGGTAGCTTTTTTTACCTGTTCATTTGACCTGGCAATTAAAGGTGTTAAATCTCCTTGGTGTGATGTTTTTGACATAGATGACGCAAAGGTAAGTATTATTTTTGCGGTTTCTTTGCTATTTATTTATTTGTTGCATTATTTTTGTTGTTGTTACTTGAAAAAGCTTTTCAAAAAACAAGTGGAACAGGGAGCACGAGCTGTCTTTGACAGACTTATCATTTTCCTTACATAGGGAATGAATTGTTCAAATGGGGTCTACATACTTACAGTTTGGGTTCAGAAAACTTTGGAAAACATTCTTCTGTGGTGATTTGATTTGCAGATCCACCCAATTAAAACCCTATTTTACCCCTCATGAGATTTTATTGCTAGAAGGGATTGTAGAGCTATTAAAATCCAAATTCTTTTTAAAGGAAGCCAGAGCTCAGAGAGGATGAATGGTTTTTCAAATACCTAACTTTTCTTTTTTAATAGTTTTTGTGATAAATTGAGCTCCATGTTCCACCTGGTAATGGCAGTAAGCCCTCCACAGTTTCTTTCTGCCTGCTTTGTATGTTCTTTCTTCCCTCTTCACTCATACTGCTTCTTTCAGACTCTAGAAAAGAGAAGGCCAGACAGGTCTCAGCTGACTTTAAGTGAGGCAAATTCTGGTCATTTCTGGGATGTTGGGAGCCAGGAGGTAGGGTAGGAGAGTGTTAATTGTTTTCGTGAGCATTGAGGATGTTGGCATTGGATAGGATTCTGGTGTCTTTGTGGATCATTCAGGCGTGTGGACTTGTGAAACTTCAGTCGTCTCTCGCATCCGTATAAAATGTTCAGTATGCCATGTGAAAATCAATTATTAACTTTAAAACTTAACATCAGGTTTTGAAAAGAAGTGTACTGTTTGCCAGATACTAGCAGGTTTTTAAGCCAAGAGCTAATGTACATTTGAGGATAAACAAGTGATTTATTTTATTACTCAAAGACCAGAGCGACCACAACAGATTTAAGGTGGTTTTACGCGTTACCAGGCTCACGTGGGACTGGGGCTTAGCCATGTGATTGGAAGCAGAGGAGAGGACCCTCAGTGAGTGACTGCTGTCAGACGCTGAGCACCGGTGGTAATGGGTATGCTCTGTTTTCCTCTCTGTCTGTTTCTCTCCTCTAACTGTCCAAAACTCATCTCGTAGAAATCTCCTCACCATAAAATTAATAATTATGCCAGTATAGGTACAAACTGAAATTTAGGGTCACCATTCACATGGGTCAAAATACTGCCCTCCCTTTTTCCCTTCCCTACCCAGTTTGCTCGAGGGGAAAAAAGTTGATAAACAGAAGTAACTGAATACTGTATAAATGTTTGGTGGGCATTGGCCAAGGGAAATTCACCTCTTAACAGAAGAGCAATTTCATTTGTCCTGGTTACTGCCCGTGGTGGGATGTTCGGCACGTGCTCACCAGGCCCCGCTCTCTGCGCAGTTCCCGTTGCGAGCAGCAGCATCCCTGGGGTCTCTTCCACGTACCGGCAGCTTTAGGTTCAAGTGACAGCTGCTTTTCCATGCCGAGGACGCGCACCTCCCACCGCAGCCGGCCACTTCCTGTCCTGTTTGTCCTTGCGACACCTGCCACTTTCCCTTCCTTTTCCTTATTTGGATCCTTCTCCTTGGAAGCATTTTGCTCTTGCTTTTTGTGCATCTGTCTCTTCGGGAGGTAGTTTGACGCATGCCAAAACCCGGGAAGTCATGATCTGCTTCCTTTGCCTTGATTCCCACACGTGTTAGAAGGTGGAACTATAGGGTACATATAGTACATAGAGTACCTTAGAACTACAAGTACACCCCCTGTAGTTCTAAGATTCTAGACTACTTGACTTTCTCTTTCTTCCCCCTCCCCTTTTTTAGTATTATCCTTTTGTCTCTTTATTATTGCCTGTGAAGAGTTTTTTTTTTTCCTGCAACTTATTTTGAAAATTTTCAAACTGACAGAAATCGTAAGAATGATAACAGTAAACACTCACATTTGTGAGTTGTTTACTTTTCTTTGCCACATTTGTTTTTCTTCACAGATAGGGAGTTTCCTGTTGCTGCCATCATGAATTACCACAGACTTAGTGGCCTAAAACAATACAGATTTATTATCTTACAGTTCTGGAAGTCAGGCATTCAGAATGAATCTTACAGTGCTAAAATCAAGATGCAAGTAGTGTGTTCTTTGTGGAGCACACAAGAGGAAAATCTCCTTGCCTTTTCCAGTCTCTAGAAGCCCCCTGCATTTTTTTAGTTTTTAAAAAAACCTGTTTCTATGGTTATATCTCCTACTCTGTCCTTCCTAACTACTCCTTATAGGGATCTTTGTGATTACATTGGCACATGTATGTAGCCCAGAATAATTTTCTCATTTTAAGATCCTTCATCACACCTGCAAATTCCCTTTTATCATGAGAGAGAATACAGTAATAGGTTCTAGGGATTAGGATGTGGACATCTTTAGGGAGCATTTATTCTGTCTGCCACATATATATGATCTTTTTTCTTTGCAGACTTCAAAGCACTTCTTTTTTTTTTTTTTTTAAAGATTTTATTTTTTATTTGTCAGAGAGAGAGAGAGAGCACAGGCAGGCAGAGTGGCAGGCAGAGGCAGAGGGAGAAGCAGGCTCCCCGCCAAGCAAGGAGCCCGATGTGGGACTCGATCCCAGGATGCTGGGATCATGACCTGAGCCGAAGGCAGCCGCTTAACCAGCTGAGCCACCCAGGCATCCCTTCAAAGCACTTCTTGAAATACTTGAATATGTATCTAAAAAACAAGAACATTCTGCTACATAGACAAAGTATAATTGTTTTACGTATATATGTAATAGTGCAGTATTATCTAGTACATACAATATTGAAGTTTTCACATTTGTCTTAATAAAGGTCTATATTTAGACTTTTTTCTCCCCTTAAACTCAGGGTCTAATGAAGGATCACTCATTGCATTTACTTGTCATGTCTTTTTAGTTTTCTTTAATCTAGAGAAGTGCTGCAGCCTTTTGTCTTTTAGACATTGGCATTTTGCAGGTGTCTGGACCCTTTTTTTTTTTTTTTTGGCAGAATGCGTTTGTGTCCCATTTCCAACTTTTGATTAGGTTAACATAGACTAAGGTTTAAGCGTTTTTGACAAGAATACTGTGTAAGTGATGTGTCTGCGTATCTTTTTGTCACATTGTTGATGACGACATGTTTGATCATTTGGTTAAAGTGATGCTTGGCAGACTTCTCCATTGCAGAGGTGCTTTTTTAACCTTTGTAAATAACTTCTTTATTTAATTGGCCGTGATGTGAACATTTGAAATATATGTTTATTAAGTTAATTGAATAAGAGCTTCCTTTTTATATATTAAAAAGCAAGTAAGTTTCTTCATTTAAAAATACAAAGTTCTCTTTTATGTTTCCTGTGATTATTTTCTTTTTTAATGATTTGATAGAAAATAACTTCTGTCTCTGCTTAGAACTTTTCACTGTGAAATAGGTTTATATACTGAAGTATTTACAGATGAAATAACTTTACTTTAGATTTAAATTTACTTTAGAATAATCCAGTGGTGGGGCGCCTGGGTGGCTCAGTGGGTTAAAGCCTCTGCCTTGGGCTCAGGTCAGGATCCCAGGGTCCTGGGATCAAGCCCTGCATCGGGCTTTCTGCTCAGCGGAGATCCTGCTTCCCTTCCTTTCTCTCTCTGCCTGCCTATCTGCCTGCTCGTGATCTATGTCTGTCAAATAAATAAATAAAATCTTAAAAAATTTTTTTTTTGAAAATTGAAAGTGAATAGATATTTATTAAATTCTGGGAATCACAGAGATTATTGGATATCCAGAACCTTGTGAAATGCGGGACCATGGGTGCCTACATAAAGCAAATCTTGTTTGGGTGCCTGCTCTCTGCTAGGCACATGGTTGGAATGGAAGATTCTAACATAACATAGGCATTGTCCCCTTTAAGGAGTAAAAGACACAAACCATTGGAAGGCAATAGGATGGCTATAATTAGGTGTAGGGATACATAAAGGAGAAAGCTGGTGTAATGGCAGTCGATCTTTATAGACGAAACGACACATGGACTAGGTACTTTTTTTTTTTTCTTTATCTGGTTTTTATTCAACTTTGTTTTTATGCTAAGATTTTATTCATTTGAGTGGAGAGAGAGAGCAAGCTATGGAGGGGGCAGAGAGAGAAGCAAACTCCCTGCTGAGCAGGTAGCCCTGGCGGGGGGTGCTTGTTCGCAGGACCGTGAGATCATGACCTGAGCCAAAGGCAGGTGCTTCACCGACTGAGCCACCCAGGCGCCCCTATTCAACGTTTTTTAAGATTTACCTATGATGATGCTATAGTTCACTTATTTTCATTGCTTTATGGATTTCCATTACATGAATTAATCACTTTTACCCCCAGCCCAGTCCATTGTCTTGTTGGTAGACGTTTGGGCTATTTTCAGTTTGGGGCTATTAAGAACATTATCGTGTAGGTCCGTTGGGGTTACGCAGACATATTTCTGAAGGTCTGGGTCTGTGGTAGAATTGCTGGGTCACAGGTTATGCAGAACTTCAAATTTACTAGATAATAATGCCAAACTATTTTTGATGTCCCAGCTTATGTTTCTGTCTTCTTTTCATATCTTTTTTTTTCTTCCCCCGCTTTTGACTTTATTCTTTTAAATCTTTGGAATTTGTGATAGTACGTTCATTTACGCAGCAGTTTTCATTCGGCTGACTGTTTTAGATATATAGCAGTTTTCTTTTTCTTTTGTGTGTTTGTATAGATGCTGTGCTGGTTCCCCTTTTTAATGATTACTCATCTTTGCAGCAAGTTCAGCTTTTCTTCCTCCCTAACCGGCCAGTGGGGATGAACAGCTATTCAGAAAGGAGTAGTGTTCCTTCCGCTTCAGAGTTGCTTTCCTCTGAGATCCTCTGCAGGTGCTTCCTGCTGACCTTGACCAATCTGTCTCCTGGGAGCCATATTACAGACTGTGCAGGGAGGCTCCCCTCAGGCCTCCTGGTTTCAAGCTAAGAGGTGTTGATTGTGCTCCTCCTAGTATTCCTGTGCTTTGAGGATCTGTCTTCCTCTGGTTTTGTGAGATGTTTTGATTTTCAGTGCACTTAGGAGCCCTCCCTTGTTTATGACTGTGGTGGGGGATAAAGATCTCCTACTCTCTTCCTCGAAGGCATTTGCATCTCTCTTTTTCATGCATTTTCTTTAGGGTGATTTTGAGAGAACAGAGAGACATGTATATCCTTATTCCATCCTATTAAAACCCAAGGTTTTTTTATTTTCCAGTGAAGAACACTTGTAATTCTTTGTCATAAAATGTGATGTGTGTTTGGAGTAGTCTCGTAGTTATTGGTGTAGTTTTTGAATGTTGGTGTGTTGGTGGGGTGAGGTCTGGAACAGACGGCTAAGAAAGAATTCTTGAGATATCTTTGGTGCAAAAAGGTGGTTTTATTAAAGCACAGGGACAGGTCCATAGGCAGAAAAAGCTGCTGCCCTGTGATTGTGAGATGCAACTGATTGTATGCTTTGGGCTTGGGGGGATTAAAGATGAGGGAAGTTTCGGAAGGATTTTCACATGCTGAAGAGGACTTAGGAGAAACTGGAGGCCTTGCTGTTGTCAAACCGAGGTGATTGTTCCCTCTAGCAAGGCATTAACCGGGAGACAGTTGGGAGCTTCCTAGAGGAATGTTAATACTCTGCCCTACCCGAGTATTTGTCAGTGGGCTGCAGGTTATAAGGACATTTAATTTGAACTGTATTTCCTTCTGCCTTTGTTTCCCACATCAGTTATTATTACCAATTAAGGAAATTTATTTCTTGCTTACCGAAGCCTTCTATTTATTGTTTTTAAAATCAGGGATGTGTGCTGAATTTTTGTCACCCGGGAAGATGATTGTGGTTTTTATTTATTTATTTTTTAATCTTCCAACATAGTAAATTGTTGGTACATTTTCTAGTATTGAGTCATCCTTGCATTCCTTCTTTCTTAAGATAAATTCTCTTACAGACTGCTTTTTCTCCTAGTTAGAGCTCACATTTCTTGTTTCTTCATGTATTTCTAGCAATTTTTTATTTACTGGACATTGTGAATATTATATTGTTGAATGCCTAAATTTTGTTGCCTTCCTTTATGGAGTTCTGAATTTTGTTTTATTTTGCTGTTAGGTTACTTGTGGGTCACCTTGATCCCTTTGAGGTTTATTTCTGAGTTTCATGCTCTGGATCTGACCTATAAAACTCAGAAACAAACCTTTATTTGTAAACATGCCTTTACTGTTAAGTGTGACCCTTCTGGGGTCTATGTTGGACATCCATGTGTCTACTGAAATTCTCCTACTTAGGCTGCTTGGAACTTGAATATCTCCCAGCCTTGTGATAGCTCTGGAATTCAGCTTATAATTCTCACAACACTGAGCAACAGAGTCAAGAGGACCCCTTTTTGTGTAGCTTCTTCCTTTCTGATACTCTTGTCCTGCTAATTCCAGCCCCTTAAGACTGCGTTCTGACTCCTCTCCTCTGCAGGACTGCACGATTCTGCCTGACATCCCTTCCCCCCACTACCCCCCAGCCTCCGCAGGCCACAGTTTCAAAGTGCCTCCAGGCAGAAACCTGGGCGTTTGGAAGGTTTGCTTTGTTTTTCTCCTCTCCGTGATCACAGTTCAGTGCTCAATACTCAATGACTGAAAACATTTGTTTTACATATTTTGTCCTGTTTTCTACTTGTGTATGTCCAGAGGGCATGCCTGGTGTTACTCCATCATGACAGATGGTACCTTCTTTCAGTAGACTGCTGAATTTTTTTTGGTAATTTCATGAAATTCAGAATTAAAAGAATTAAAAAAATTTTTGGTAATTTCATTAAATTGTTTAAATGAATTAAGCATTCATTAAATTGTGTTTGTAGTGAGGTTGTTTATGGCCATGGCTCTCATCTGTGAGTGGTACTGATGGCCCGGCCCTATCCTTTTCCTGGCTGGGGGGTTAGAACACAAGGGGGGGATTTCTTTGTGCACCTGTGACTAAGAGCCATAGTTGAGAGCACAGGAATTGCAATGCAGCGGGCTGAAGTTTTCCTGGCTCTTTTCTCTGTGCTTTCTTTGTTCAGTTTTGGGTACAGGCTTCCACTGTGCTCCTAAAATGAGTTGAGAAGCTTTCTGATATAAGAAAAATGTTAAGGTTCGAAATCGGCAGCCAAGAAAGTATTCTTGTGACGTCTTTAGTGCAAAAAGGTGATGTTATTAAAGCACGGGGACAGGACCCATGGGCAGAAAGAGCTGCACTGGGGTCATGAGGAGTTGCCCATTATACACTTTCAAGTTGGGAGGGAGTTAGGGATGGCGTGAATCTCTTAAGGAATTTTGGAAGCAAGGTTTCCAAGACCTTGAGGGGGCTAGCTGTTGTTGGGAAAAGGTCATTTATTACCGTCTAATAAAACCTGAGTCATGAGACCCTTCAGATGTATATCGGTCGGCCATATGCTTGGGGGGGTGATTGCCAACATGTATTTTGGGGGGTTTAGAGATAAAGAAAATTTCCAAAGGAATTTTTATATGTTAAAGTAGACTTACAAGATCCTGGAGGTCAGGTTAGTATTGCCTGTTGCTCTCAGCAAAGTGTCAACATCCAGGCAGCTGAGTCTCTAGAGGAAGGTCACTCTGCCTGTTTCGAGAACTTGTCTGTGGGCTTTAGGTGGTGAGGAAATTTAATCATTTTTTTTCTGTCTTTGTTTCCCACATCACTTTATCCTTTCCTGTACTCTGGAATAACTTAATTATTAGGAACTAACTCTTCTTGAAGGTTTGGTAGAACTCCTACTTTAAACCAAATATGCCTGGTCTCTTTCAGATAGACTTTTATCTCTAGTTATTTTGTGTAGTCATATTTTTCTGTGTCAATTTGGCTAATTTATATTTTCCTAGAAAAACTGCTTATTCCATTTACATTTTCAGATCCTTTTGAGATAACGTTTCAATAGCATGCATGTGTGATTTTTAAAAAATCTTCAGGCATATCTCCTTTTTCATTTCTGATACTGTTTTATTTCTTGAATGGATTTGGCAGAACTTTAATTCTTTTAATTTTAATTCTTTCATTTAAAAAAATTTTACTTTGTCCCTTTTGCTAACTTCTTGATTTAGTTGCTTCTTTAATGTATGTTTAGTTTTGTTTTTGGTATATGGCTCTTTGCTCTTAAATTTACTATGGCTTGCACTTAGTTTCTCTAGGGACCTTTTGGGGAAGAATAACAATTACTGCAGTCTTCTTTTGTACCCATTTAAAAAAAAAAGATTTTATTTATTTATTTGACAGAGAGAGGGACAAGTAGGCAGAGAGAAGTGGGGGTGGGGAGCAGGCTTCCTGCTGAGCAGAGAGCCTGAGGTGGGGCTTGATCCCAGGACCCTGAGATCCTGACCTGAGCCGAAGGCAGAGGCTTAACCCACTGAGCCACCCAGCCGCCCCATACCTATTTTTATTTTTAGGTAAGCTCTACACCCAATGTGGGGCTTGAACTCTCCCCTCTCCTCCCCCAAGATCAAGAGTCACAGCCGGAGCCCAACTTGTATCTTTTTCCAGGGAATGTTTTCGTCCCCTGGTTTTGGTGTTTATCTGATCATATGATACATGAGTACAAAGTTTAACATTCAGAGAAAGTCTGCCTTAATCACCAGTTGTAATTCAAGAGGCTCCACAGAGATCAGTCCCTGCTGTCTGTTCAGTGTGTACCTTTTAGCCCTTTTCAGTGCTGCTATTTATAATCTATATCACTTTTTAAGATTTTATTTATTTATTTGACAGAGAGAGAGATCATAAGTAAGCAGAGAGAGAGGGGGAAGCAGGCTCCCTGCTGAGCAGAGAGCCCAGTGCGGGGCTCGATCCCAGGACCCTGAGATCATGACCTGAGCCAGAGGCAGAGGCTTAACCCACCGAGCCACCCAGGCACCCCAATCTATATCACTCTTAAAACAGTAAACAGTACAATGTGTGTTTGTAGGTATGCATGTCTTGGTAATAAATGGTATTATACTGTAATTATTCTTAACCTGCCCTTCTCATTCGGTATGTCTTGGAGAGATCTGTCCATATCAGTACATATAGACCTACAACATACAAGTTTTAAATAACTGCCTAGTATTCCATAGTATGTGTATACCATTGTTTAGTCAACCATCTGCCTATTATGAAATTTAGGTATTTCCAGGAATCTTTCTCCTGCCCTATAAGCAGTGCTGCTCTAAGACGTTCTTAGACATGCTGTCTTGTGTTCATCTGTGACTATGACTTCATAAGAAATGGAATTAAATGGGCTATAGAAATATATGCTTTTATGGATTTTGCCAATTTGTGCTTTAGAATGTCTGTACCAGTATACATTCTTTTTCTATATCCTTCATCTACTTTTATTACCATTTTTGCAAAAGTGATACACGAACCAAAGTAACTTGCTTTCTATCTGGTTTCTAGCTCTATAAAATTCTTAAAAGTTCCTGATCCATTGTTCACATCTTCATGTGGTACAATGACGATTCTTCTATTTCTCTCTTTTTTCCTGTACGTATTTTTGCTATCACTTGAAAGTAATTTTAGAAGCAAGGGGAAGTGAGCTCCTGTCCTTAGCCCTCTGTCCTGAGCGTCCGTGGATGCTGGGTTATCGGCCATGAGTACTAACTTGCTTTTGCATGCCGGCCCCCACGTTCCCACAATTCGAGTTCTTGTTTCATCATAAATCTCTGCGTGGCATGGACTTTTGGGGCAACTCTTAAAAGCTGAAAATGCAAATATAAACTCAGTGAATGCTAAGATTCTATTATACTTTGTGGAGAATGGTAATTAAACAATGTCACCTTTTCTGAGTCATTAAATCAGGGAATCTGTTAACGTTAATGTCATAGTAATGATTTTTGAAATTTTTACTTTTAGGTATTAGAATATTTAAATGATCTGAAGCAATATTGGAAAAGAGGATATGGGTATACTATTAATAGTCGATCCAGCTGCACCCTGTTTCAGGATATCTTCCAGCACTTGGACAAAGCAGTTGAACAGAAACAAAGGTAAAAACTTAAAACAACTTTTTTTGATATGTATTCTCTTTGCCCAATTAAGCTTTTTGAAAATGTTTTATAATGGATGAATTTTTAAAAATAGGTTTTGCTTTTTTAAAATATTTAAATTTAATTTTAATATTTAATTTTAATATTTTAATATTTAAATTTTAATTAAATATTTTAATTGAATAAATAATTATTTAATGTTTTAATATTTGAATTTAATATTTAATTTTAATATTTAATTTTTAATATTTTAATATTTGTTTTAATATTTTAACATAATATTTAAGCTTTTGAAAAAATTAGATGACATAATGTGAGTTATCAAACGTTTAAACCCTTCGTTCAACCCAACAGCTATAGAGCATTACTTAGGATTAGCACGTGCAATGGTTCCCTTTTCCTGCTGCCTCTTGCCCCCTCTACTCCTTATCCCCTGTGACTGCTCCTCTCAGGTTGGTGGATATCATTGCTTTGCGTGTTTAAAAGTAGTCTTTATTATAAATGTGTGTGTGTAAACAGTATGTTGTTTAGCCCAGAGTTATATGCTCATTGTCTTCTGGGACTTATTTTTTTCCCCTCCCCTTCAGCATTACATTTACAAAGTAAAAAACTAAACATTTTTACTATAGTGTAATATTTAGTAATGTCTGATATTCAGTAAAGAAGTACCACAGTTAATAGCGTCTTTTCTTGTCAGTGGACATTTGGATAGTTTCTGTCTTTGCTGTTACAAATCGTGTAATTGCACATGGCTTCTGGTAGAAATGCGAAATGTTTTTATTTTGAATGAGAGTTTCTCATGGAAAAGCCTTTGTTAACATTCATACTTTTCAACTTTCCAAGGTTTAAAAAAAAAACTTTTCATAATTTAAACCTGTAATAGAACCTAACTAACTCCATTTTATTTGATAATATGCTTTTGTGAGAGCTTAGACATTAATAATTAGAGGCAAAAATGCTGTAAAAATGAGACAGACTGAAGATTGTGTATTTGTGTTTGCAGTACTAAGTTTTATACACACATGTAGAGAGAGAGAGGTGTGTGTGTGTGGATATGACTGTCGTTTAGGAAATTTTCTTTGGTTTGTTGGGAGTTAGGGAAGAAAACTGGATTGAGTATTTAGTTTCTGCTACCAGACACTTTTCGTGGGGTAGTATAGTCAAAGCAGGTTCCGTCTTTGATGTAGGCATTAACTTCTTTCCTACTTAGTTTTTTGTTTTTTTTTTAAGATTTTATTTATTTATTTGACGGAGAGAGAGATCGCAAGTAGATGGAGAGGCAGGCAGAGAGAGAGAGAGAGGGAAGCAAGCTCCCTGCTGAGCAGAGCCCGATGCGGGACTCAGTCGCAGGACCCTGAGATTATGACCTGAGCCGAAGGCAGCGGCTTAACCTACTGAGCCACCCAGGCGCCTCTTTCCTACTTAGTTTTATGAGTGGTTTATAACCTGTTAATTTTGTAAGAGAACAGATTTTTGTTGTTTGTTCATTGTTACCCTGTTGTTGAATGTGAGGAACTGCAGACTTAAAATTGTGTCAGAAAGATTCATAAATAATTTTCGCGGGATTTGCTACTACGATTTGATACCAGATTTAAAGTTTGAGAAGTTATTGTTGTTTCAAAATGATTGAAAGCTTGAGAAGTTATTATTGTTTCAAAATTTTTGTACCCTGAAAACTATGAAACATTAGGGAAATTACAGATGGCCCAAATAAATGGAGAGATATGCTATTGGTATGGATTGGAAGCCAGATTGATCATCTATAGGCTGAATGCAGTCTCTACCACAGTTTTAGTAGGTCCCTTTGTAGAAGTTGAGAGGCTTACTCTAAAATTTGTACAGAAATGCAAAAGAACCTTGAAGAGCTAAAACAATTTTGAAAAAGAACAATAGCAACAAAAACTTTTAATTATCTCATTTCAAAGCTTACTATAAAACTGTAGCCATGGACAGATAGATCAATGAATAGAATCAAGTCAATAATATACTGTTATGTGGTCAGTTTTTGACAAAGATGCTAAGGGAGTATACTGAAGTAAAAAGGATAGTCTTCAGCAGATGGTGCTGGAACAGTTGGGTGCCCGTATGTTAAAAAACGACATTTAGACCTGTAGTTCATACTGTACACAAAAATGGGTCATAGATTTAAGTGTAAAATTGGAAATCTTTCTGAAGAAAATATGGGATCAGCGACCTAAATGTAAGAGCTGAAACTATGAAACTCTTAGAAGAAAACCTAGGAATAAATCTTCACAATCTTGGATTAGGCCAAGATTTCATACTAAAACACTCAAAAGCTTGATCCATCAAAAAATTGATAAAATGGACATCATCAAAATTAAAATTTTTGTGCTTCTAAAAATACTATTTGGAAAATGAGAAGATTAATTTTAGACATAGAGAAAGTATTTGTAAAATATACATATATGATTAAGGATTTGAATCCAGAATGCATAGGATGTTACATCTCAATAAGGAGACAACCCAGTTTTTAAAAAGCAGGAAATTTTAACAGACAGTTAAGATGGCAGATAAGCGCATGAAAGGATGCTCACCATCATTGAACAGTGAGGGGCGCCTGGGTGGCTTCGTCGTTAAGCGTCTGCCTTTAGCTCAGGTCATGATCCCAGGGTTCTGGGATCAAGCCCCGCATCGGGCTCCCTGCTCAGCAGGAAGCCTGCTTCTCCATCTCCCACTCTCCCTGTTTGTATTCCCTCTCTCGTTGTCAAATAAATAAATAAAATCTTTTAAAAAAACAAAGAAAAAAAAAACACAGTGAAATACCATCAGTATGCCCCCAAACTGGCTGTGAAATAATAGAAAAAATATATATTGGTCTCTGCCCCAGCCTCTTGACATAGGCTTCCTGAAACCATGTGGTTTCCTGGGTGATCAGTGTCTTTTATTCTAATGAGGCCGCTTTGAGTGGGACCCTGGACAGCTCCAGGATGAATTGTCACTGAAAGACCAAGCCATTAGTAGCAGCTTAGAATTTTCAGCCCTGAGCCCCATTGTCTTGAGAAGGGAAAAAGGCTGGAAATGGCAGTAATGACCAGTCATGGCTATGTGATAAAAGCCCTAAAATGTTTGAGGTTTATGGAGCTTCTGGGTTGATAGATAAATAGGTAGCAGTGCTGAGAGAGTGACTTGCCTGAAGAGGGTGTGGAAGCCCTGTATACTGGCCCTTCCCATCTCCCATGTAGACATTCATCTCTATCCTTCATCATATCCTTCTATAATAAACCAGTAAATGTGTTTCCCTGAGTTTTGAGAGCTGCTCTAGCAAGTTAGTAAACCCGAGGAAGGGGTTGTGGGAACCTTTGATTTGTAGCCAAGGTGAACAGAAGTTGTGGGTAGCCTGAGACCTACTTGCCATTGGTACCTGGAGGGGGCAAGAGAGGCAGTCTCATGGACCTGAGCCCTTTGTGGACTTGAGTGCTGTCTCCAGGGACACAGTGTCAGAATTGAGGTAAATTGCCAGATAACTAGCTGGAATGCAGAGATCTGCTTGGTATGGGGAAAATGCCCCACATGTTTGGTGACCAGAAGTGTCCAGAGTGGTAGGAGTGTGGTGTGAGAGTGAAGCAGAAACACAGGAGGAAAAGACTGGGTGTTTTCTTTATTTACTGGCTAAAATATAAATTAAAAAATAAAGATTGTCCTGAATGTTGGCAAGATGTCTAGAAAGTGGGAACTCTGTACTTTGCTGGTGGAAATGTAAAATTAATACAGCCACTTTGGAAAAGTTTAGCAGCTTCTTTGGAAGTTAAACATATATCTACCATATGATGTAGGAAATTTAGTCCTAAGTACCCTATAGAAAAGAAACTACGTGTCTACACGGACTTCTGTGTGACTGTTTACAGTTTTTAGCTATTATGAATAATGCTACAGTCAACAATTCAGACGCCCACCAGCAGCTGGATGGGTGAACACAAGGTGGTGAGTCAATGGGACGGAGTACTACTCGGCAGTAAGAGAGTATGAACTACTGGCACACGCGACAAAACCAAAGACTTCAAAAACATGATGCTAACAGAAAGAAGCTGGTTGCATAAAACTATACGTTGCATGATTATGTTTATTTGAAATTTCTAGAAAAGACCAAACCTTAGATGAGGAAGTCCGTCAGTGGCTTCCTGGGTCTGGACGTGGGAGCCAAGATTGGCTGTGAATGGGTACGGGAAAGTTTTAGGGCCATGGAAGTGTCCCAAACTGGATTGTGAAGTTTGCACACGCAGCTGTTTTATTCACTAAAATTCATCTAAGTAGGGTCACCTAGGTGGCTCAGATGGTTAACGTGTTTGCCTTCTGCTCAGGTCATGATCTCAGGGTCCTGGGATGGAGCCCTAACTCCAGCTCTTTGCTCAGTGTGGAGCCTGCTTCTCCCTCTCCCTCTGCCTCCTCTGCCCTGCTCATGCTCGCTCTCGCTATCTCTCTCTCGCTTTCTCAAATAAATAAATAAATCTTTTTTAAAAAGATTCATCTAACTCAACAGTTAAATCCAGGTGGATTTTATGGTAGTTCCATTATACTTCAATAAAAATTGACAGTATGGGTATTTAGTGGAAGGGAAAAGGGGGGAAAGAATAAAATAATCTTTTGGTAAAAGTGGGAATAATTTTCGAAGAATTTACTAATTTACTAAATGCAACTAATTGATTACTTTGTCGTGTTATCTATACTTAGATGCTGCTGAAGTTGATTTTCATGCATGGCTTGTGGAATCAGATGTAGAGCAGCGTGAGGTTGTGGGCAGATGCTTGGGTTTAGTTGAAGTCCTGCTTCGCGATCGATGTTGCATCGCGACCGATGACGGGGGGCTGTGTCTCCCGACTCACGAGATTGTTGTGATAATGAAATGAGATAATGTCTTTAGAGCCCCAGTGTAATGGGATGTTTTCATTACTAGGATGAGGAAAGACTACTCCCTTTGCATGATTACTCCTTTGTGAATTGAAGAGAAGATTCATTCAACAATATTTTAAAACACCTGCTGG